AAGCATGCGACGCAGTTGGACAGAGAAGTGAGGTTCGTTAAAAGTGAACGTTTTTTTTTATGCTTTTGCGAAAAGGGAAACCGTCGACGACGACAACATCGCCGCGGGCTTGAATTTTCAATTTGAGATGAATTGCGCGCGCTTCTCGCTGTAGGACCGAACGCAATTATCGTCGCTTTAATAAATTTTAATCGCTCCGTCAGAACTCGTAACCGTTCCACGGTTTAATTGCCGGGTCGACCGGCATTGTCATCGATTACAAGTATACGGGTTTCGTGTTTCACCCCTGCGTTATTGCCCTCGAATTATACAGTTGGCGGAGCACTTCTGCGGAGTCGATCGAGAAACAGAGTCACGTTAATCCCCCGGATTGAAAACGTACGTCCGAGTAGAAAAAGTTTGAAAAGGTTCTTAAAATATTGGAGGAGGATCTGCCCCACTTGTTTCCATGAAATCTCAAAGTCTCGATGAGACGCGCGGGAAATTATGCAGCCTTAAGCAGGATTTCGATGGAAAAAAATCCCCCATTTTAAGGCGTGTACACGGGAGTGGAATAAAAAATATCGCGATGGCATCAGCACCGGCGATACGCGTCCACATCGAATATGCGACACCGGCAAACACGCGGATTGTCGTGCTTGTGCATGCAAATTTGTAGATGCAGGTGCTGCGCAGCATCATCGTTCGCCGCGTGTACCGGTGGCGGTAACGCCGCCGTTGCGACGTACCTGAATTACTCGGTCCGAGGAAGAAGGGCGAGGTAAGAGAATTTGTGGGATGCATCGGCCACTCTCTCTCCTTATTCATGCATAAAATCCATATTCTTCGGAGGAGGCAACCTGTTTCATCGCCACGTCGCATCAGAGGCAACCCTTTCCGATTCCACTTCACCCTCGCGCCACCCTCGGGCCAGCTGCTCCGTGACGAAGCCGAGATTATTGTCGACCGTGTGGCGTCAACCGAGTATTCGGTCGTCACGGGGATTTAAAATTTTCGTAGCTCGACTACTTGAAAATTTGCAAGTTGCTCCTTCAGGACTACTTCCCAGACTACATTTTCTCCTTGCTCTGGTTTCACTCGGTTGTATCAAGATTTTATGACTGTCGCACGAAAACGTGGTCGTGAATAATACGTACCGACGAATCGCGCGGCGATCAATGTTGTGCAATTTATTTCACCCTCGTTAATTCCTATTCCTTTGCACGCGAGATGATAATTAAGAAAAATAAATGATAAAGTGCGTCGATAATTCGCGCGCCTCAGGAAGATTCCATCGAAATATGATGGAGATCGATCACCAGACGGGAGAATATTTAATTCAGCTTAATTCGACTGCACTGATAATACTGCGGCGCTACTGGTTCTCATGCAAAAGAACCCTATATCGTATTCCGATTGCGCGTAATGGCTTTCAGTTCAATTAAAAAAATTTCCCTTCACCGGCTATTCTAATTACCGTCTCGCGCGAATGTACAATTTGACGACGTCCCCCTTTAATAATAGACAATTATGTGCGCGCTCTTAAGCGACATTATCATTAAAAAAATTTCTACACGACGATCGGTCGTACCTCCGAAGAAGGAAGCACCGAGGACAAGATTTACTCGAATCAACGAAGACTCGCGTCGCACTCGACTTTGAACTCGTCGTGGGCATCATCGACCGATCGAAAGAACGCCCATTACGCGTCCACGTAACAAGATATTGAATTTCTCAGAGGGTTGCGAGCCTCAGAGTCTAGAGCGGATTCGTGCCTCGAGATATAATAGGAGCGCCTCCACACCTACTCGGGCTGCGGTGTATTTCAGACCTTCTCGCCACTCGAGCCGCAGAGCGACTATACACACTCTAACAAACGCCCATTTTCAGACAATGAATATTTTAGTGCGCCCATGAAAGCGCGCTCGAGCGCGCCTTCTCTTTTTTTGTCCTTGCCGCCCTCGTCACAAAAGGCATCATCGCTGCCACCCGTGTACGTGACGATCCTAACCCCTTGATCATTCAAGGAACACCGGCAGTAACTGGATCAAGTAACGCTACTCTCTCTTGTCCTACGGAGGGTTCATTGTTTTCCACCCTTTCGCGCAACAGATTCACGTCGCGATACCGTGCATCTTGACTGATTTATAATCCCATCCGCCGCAAGTACAAACGCGAAGATTGCGCTTACTTTTCCCTGAAGGGCTTTCCCTTACCCGCGATTGCTGGAAAATACGCATTTCCAAACAACGAAATTGTAGATACGTTATGACTGATTGATCTACCACATGTTTTTCCTCGCATACGAAGGAATAAACTATGACGATACGTGGCCTGAGTTTACGTATAATTATTGTTATAAAAATACATTTAATTGATAGTTATTTCAATCTTCGATGGTACTCGAAACGATTTATGAACGTATTTCTATGCTGTGTAAATTTCAGCTTTTAAATTGATAATTTTTATATCAATATTTATTTTATTGTTTGACTAAGTGGCAGCAATTTTATCAGCAGAAGATCGAATGGACGAGCTTTATCCGTCGACGTTCCCTACCGCACCGTCGCACGATACGCTCTAAACGCAGACAATAGAACGTTTGTGCTCTAACTTTCCGATACTCCTACGCACAGAGAATCGGTAACAGAGAGAACGGCAGAAAAGCGATCTCTAAATTTTAAAACTTTATTCGATTTGCAACAAACGTTATTTCCCAGTGTTATTAGTTTTCACGAGTTCGTTTTATTAAACATGAGGACGCGTCTAAAAATTCCTGAACAAAATTTGTCGTGGTTATTGTGTAGAATAATATCGCGCGCGACGGTTTACGTGAAAGAGATCGTTTAAAAAGTTTCTTCACTCCGTGAATTAACGTAGAACGGAAAAAATTGTTATACGAATTTATTCCATTTAACTCTTATTCAACTTTTCCAAACAAATAACGAGATAATGAAAAGTTTCACGGAAAACGAATTTTTCGTCTCGTAACTGACCAAACAGTAAATAAGAGGAAACGATGCATTAAACATGCGTATACTGTAAATAAAATTCGCAGTTGACGATAAACCATTGATTTCATATTAGCATAAATATTCGTCTCATTGTTTGTAATAAACGGTGCGTCTGCAAAATCGAGGATACAAAATTGGCCGCGTACGCATACGTTGTTGTCCAAAGAGAACAAAAAAGAAATATCGAATATAGGACCACTATTGTCCAGCTGTCCAGTAATGGACGACCCTCTTTTGGCTCGAGCTAATAATGCCGAATTGATCCGGGACGCTTTGGCGATTATATTTCACGATGCCGAACGTTTGCCTTTTATTACCGGCATCAACTAAGAACAGCGAATTTTTTACCAAACTTTTTCTATACTGCTTAGTGCTTTGCTCCCAGCATCTGCGCATTAAATCCTTGTTTGAAGAACGTATCATGTACCGAGTTGAGTACAGTTGTAGAGTAAAATTCAACTACCATCAGATTTTTAAAGCAAACATGAAAATCAGACAATTTATAATTCTTATTTTCTCACGAGTACAGGCAACTTTAAACTTTAACGTCAAAGAATTATCTACACTCGTGTCACCAGCAACTAATTTTAAAATAGATATATAAGAGGCAAGATTGTCGTGACAAGATAAAAATAAATGTGAAGTAAAAATAAATTAGCGCCGTTATGGTGCATGATATATGTACGCGTTTAACTTGCGGACACGTATTCCGCTAAAGTTTTATAGAAATACTTTTTTTGCATGCTGTCCCTCTGCAATCGTTCTAAGAAAAAAAACGGAAGCACTGTTGAATCAGATCTACGGTGATCCATGTGGCGCGTGGTCCTATGACACGGCTACTCTGCGTTCACTTTTTTCTACAGGATTTTTTTTGTCGTCCGATGATTCGATTATTCAAGAGGAAGGACGAAAAAATTTCTGAAAGGGAAGCTGCGGTAGGATCGGGCGCGTGCTCGAGAAGCGTCGCCGTCGCGTTTCAGTTTCATTGTGTACACTTGTACAGAGTTTCAGCAGATCCCTTTTAGTATAGAACAAAGGGCCGTACAATTCCGAATCTGGACAGGCAGATTCGAAAGAGTATTGAGATTTTACAACGAAACGTTTTATTCGTCGGCGCAAGAACGACAGTACGATATTCACGGTAAGAATCGTAAATAGCGGGGGTGGATGTAATATAATTGCGGGATGGGAACGCGAACAGAAGCAGTCGCGGACTGTCAATTGAAACGCATCATGCGATTCGAAATTATTGGTCTACTTCTTGCTGCGTTCGTCGTAAAGGTAATATCATTAATTTCGAGCAGAGCAAATACGGACTGACGGAACTTCATTATCATTATCGATACTGTATCCGAAGTCGCGTGACAAGTGTGCGACCGCAAACCGGAACGCCCCAACTCGGACGGTACCGGACAGCCGCTCTAATTCATTCCTTAAATTATGCACATTCGTTCCGGCCATCCTGTCGATTTTTGATCGGCCGAACGAAAGAAAGCATTTCACGAGACAGGTGCGCGGCAATGAGAGGCCAGACGCGTGTTACGACGTTCATGTTGTTAAATTACGAGGAGAACGTCATCCAACGAGACCGGTAAGGCGAAACGATTTCGCGTCACGCAGAAATGCGTGAGGGCACACGCGTGGAAGTTGACGCATGGAAACGAGTAGCGTGTAATGGATTATCGTGCAAATGCGTTATACTTGTTGAACCCTGGTTTCCAATGCCTCTATCGATTATTATAGGTAGACGGAAGAAATAAAAATGAAGAGAAATTCAGTTTGCTCGGCAAATTGAACTGATCGCGAATATAAAAGCATGCGAAAATTGTACCCCACTATTTCTTGGAAGAAAAGAAAACGTGGTTAGTAGATCAGGTTATAAAGTATCAGGAGGCGTGGAAGGGAGGTTCGCCTAGTCATCGGACGAGCTCCCCTGAGTATTTTTGGAAAAAATATCTTGTCGGTGTAGGTGCGAGTGTATCTCGCGAGATTCTGCGCGTCATTTCCCGTGGAATGGAAAGGAAACTCCTAAGAGGAGGCTCGCACCAGTTCGGACTTGTCCGTGAGGCTAAACTAATTTGCTGCGCGAGGGTAGTCGCCGGGTTAAAGCTTGAAGTGGGGTGACACGGGGCCGGGGCAGATGGAAAGTCCAGGGGATGAAGGGGAGAGAGTCATCTGATTCCGCGCGGTGGGAGAACAAAATTCCGAGTGACCAGTAAAAATGCCACCCGACTCGCCGCGTTCCCTTCTCCTCCGGCATCCCCCGTCCTCTCCTATTTTCCTTCACTTTCTCTTTCCGCTACGACTTCTTCCCTCTTCCCTCCCACGCTCCTGTCCCTTCACTGTCGGACCCTCGCTCCCTCACCCGGACTACCTTCTCACCCTACCTTAGGGCTATTGGAAGGACTGTGAACTGGGGTAAAAGACTGCTCGTGGCTCGTGTCTCGTGCTGAGTCGCGAGGAGGACGGTGATAGCTTAGAGACGCGCGGCCGTGTGAGGGTGGATGTGTGGGGCCGCCTTTTTTAACGCACGTGTGTGCAGGTGCGTGAGACTAAGAGAGGAGGAAGTGCCTTAACGAAGAGAGACTTTCTCAGTGATGGCACTTCCTATCGGACACCCCTCTCTCTCTCTCTCTCTCTCTCTCTCACTCCTATTCGTGTAGTTTCGCTTTCGTTTCGGAAATTATTGTGAAATTATAAACCAGTGTTAACACTTTTACGTCTACACCAAAGTTATGAATTGTTAATGCGATTGTAATGTAAAACATAAATAATCTAGATGTTCATGTTACATAGAAGTTCAAAAATTAAGTTTAAGTTAAAAGAAATCTTGAAATTGTAAAAATAAAACATTGAGGAATCGAAGGATACATGAGGAACCAATAGAACCTGGCAAGACGTCGTCCCTGACTTTGAAAGAGGGTGGCATGAAGTAAGGGGTGAGTTTGCTGGGGGGACTAGAAGCGAGGGTGTGAGGGCGGTAGCGGGGATTGGGGGTTGAATCAGCGCGGGGGTGTATGGGGGAATTAGTAGATGGCCGTGGACAATGTGGGGGATACTTTCTCATATCAAGTATGGCCGCCATCGTGGCACGATGGTCAAAACAATAGTAAGTAGGAAGTCCCTTAGGCAGTCCGTCGTTTTTCACGATTTTAGGCCATCGTCTTCTTTTTCTAACGCCGTCCTCCCACCTCCCGGTTTAAAAAAAAATCTCGCTTTCGGAATTCCATGCTCGGCGAGAGAAGACAACATTCCACACGTCTTCACATTGTTTTTCTGGTGTTTCAGTGCGCAGTGAATAAAGTGATGTTATCGTCGTTATCGTCGCTATTATCAGTCACCAGTTTGCACCTCATTCAATGAAAACGATTTATCACTTTATCAACGGTAGTTATCAAATGGATAATGAGAAGGAGCCGACCAATCGCGAATATTTCGGATTTCTTCACGTGGTCAAGTTGCCGCTGATTACGGTAAGTGTTCGTGTTTATAAGTTCACTTCTTGACAAGTGTATGCTCTCTGTGTTGACCGATAATTGTGCCACAGATTTTACAAACCACTATCGCCGATACTGTAAATCATTGAAGTATGAATAACCGACAAACAATGAACATTTTCCCGTTTCTTGAAAAAGCAATATCACGATGAAACATAACTTCGACGAAGCGACATTGTACGTAATACGAATTTACTTTGTACGTTCGTTTTCTTGCGTAACGATAGGATCGGTTTTTCCTCCAGCTTAAAAATTCCAGTAATGCATTCTCTCATCGTCATTATTGATGAGCAAAGGAATATTTTAGACATGTAATTTCTTTGACGAAGCTGCTCGGTCGCCTAGCCGTGAAACACTAAGAGACCGGCTGATATGCTCGGACGTCTTTTGCATGCGAATACTCCACGTGGTTCATCTGACGACACGCATTGCGCAGATCCAACTTTCCGCGATCCCCACCTTTATATGAATCGCACCTTTTACCATATCGTGATTCCAGGTACGAATATGACGTGTTGCTCGGCTAATGCACCTCGACCACGTGAACTACTTTCACTGATTCTCTGCTTTCAACCATTCGAAGAAAATTCTTATCTTATTTATTCACCAATATCATTCTTTCCCATATACTCAATTTATGATCCCTGAGATCTTTCCAACAATCAGTCTGTTAAAAAAATGTTTCCATACAGTAACGTCTTAGTTTTAAATATTATACTAAGTACCGTATTATGCTTAGATATAAATGTAATTCTCCCACATCGATTGTTTAAAGTGTTGAAGATCTCAGCATGTTGCGATCGTAACAGCGTCAATCACGAGAACGAAAATGGTTGAAATCGACGTTAGACATTTAAAGAGTAGGGAAGCGGGAGGGTAGTTGGGTGTCGGGTGGGTGGTTGGATAGATTTTCAGTACTGGCGCGATGATATTTGTCTTGTTTACGGACAGACTTATGCGCGTGTGCGAACCAGTGAAGTTCGCTGCTCGATCAATAGGCCTCAACTGAAATCACATATAAACGCACTCACGCGCGCGTACACACCAGCACGCAGCGTCGAACGAGCGTACGCACGCGAGGAACGAACGCAAAAAGTTCGCGTAGCTTTTATTTTCGGCTCCGCGAGAACCGAGATGATCGAACGATCCAAACTTTCATAATTTCCCCCGTCTCACTCGTCTCGTTATCGATCTCAGAAATTCCGGTCTCTATCAATAACCCAGCTTACTTGTATCCATATGGAAGTTCAATAACCGACCCGCGGATAATCTTATCTCTCGCGTTTTTGAAAACACATTGTACAGGTGCTTCCCCATGTTGACATTCTTAAAAACAAGACGAGATACGTTTAAATAGACGGACTCATTCGGGCTGCTTCGTCGAATTGCGGCGATTCACTGCGTTCGATATTAATTACCGCGCCGCGGCACCCCACCCGAAAACACATAATTTATCGTGCCATTGTTTCACGACTCGATAAACAGCCAGCTGCAGCCGGCACGCATCCGTGTACATTGTTCGCGGCATATGTTGTCGCAGAGCATCGTTATTTTGTCAAGTTGAAACGTTGTTTACAGGAGGGGCGCGATACACCCACGCGACGAGCGACCGCGGAACAATTTCAGGGTGCAGAGAAAAGACATATGCAATACACCGTGCATCGATAATACCTCTTTCACGTCGTGTCCCTTCCGTATCAAAAGCCCTCCCTGATGTAACAACACGTTTTTCTCGACACCCTTTCGAGATTGTCGAAATTCCCTACTTTCCCCCGTCCGTTTCGCTCGCTGGCCGTTATTCATCCAATTTCGGCTAGAAACGGCGCAAAGGCTTTCTATATAGACAATATTACCGTGGCGCGCCATACGGGCGTATTTTTCGAAAATCCGTCGAACGCTGCGCAGAAATGCGGGTTTTGCATCGCGACCCTTCCCTGCCCCCTACAATCCCGGCCTGTTTTCCAACCCCCGCGTAATCCAATTTCCGTAGACTGACAGGCCAGGCAGCCCGTCCAAATTTCGAATAATGACCCTGTATCCTCGTCGGCTTAAAAGTTGAATGTATGCATTGGGGTGGCTTTAAATTCGTCATTAGTCTAAAAATTACGGTAAACGAACTACAAAAATGTCGATGGCATTAACATTTCCAATAAAGTAAATACTTAATTTTAATAAACGAATTTCAGTATTAAAAAATCAGGATAATATCCTCAATTACAATCGAAACGCAATATGAAGTGAAATTGTAATTTTCAATCTCATGTATTGTTATACGTGATTGGTTCTCGATCGGCGAATCGCAGCTAAATCGATCGGATCATTCCGAAAATCATCTGTTCGGGGATTGTAACGGAGGACGTTTCATTAACGTGGTGGGGGATATTTGTGCGGTGGTTCCACGAAGGTGGTAGGGACGAAAACGATGTGACAGGCCCTTCATGGGGCACCGTGGCTGCACCTAACAGTAACTTGGGAGAGTCCACAGAGGCGTAAGCGCGTGAGGACTATACTAGATTAGCACCTTTTCTCAGATCTTTAAATCCCATTCATAGTGTGCTGCGCGCGGAAGAAGCAGCTGTGCTTCTTTTCAGTCCTTCCGAGAATCCACCTTGTTCCCTTCGTCTCGCACTCCAATCTCCGATTCAGTTGATTCTTTCGTCAAATCGATAAAAAAAAGTATCCTCGAGTAAAAATGTTCTCCCCTTATTTCTTCGATCAGAAAAGATGTTCCGTGAAAATCATAAAATTTATATCGAGTGGTTCGTTCTTTCAAGGGTTCGTTTGACCAAAATATCTCCAGGTAACCCCTAGTTTCATCTACCCTACCTGGTGCCACGTGCCGTAAGACCTTCCCGGCGTATCTGACATCTCAGAAAAGTGACACGATTTTTCACCGTGTGGCTGTGTTCTTACATGTGTTTACGCGTATCTTTCCTCTAAACATGCACGATAAAATTCCGTGTGGCAATCAGTGGAATAATTGTGTTGTTTCGACCTCGCTTTATCTGTGCTCGACAATGTTTAATGGATGATTTCGAAGGAAAAATGTTCCACGGGTGATTATCATTCTTCTGGGATATCAATCTGTCTACCGGTGAGAAATGTTCTTTTTCAAATAAACATTTTCCATATACATTTACATTATGTATGTACATACATGTGCTACCATTGGTTAGTATTAACTGGCTCGGTTCAATGATCCGTGCAGAATTTCGTGACAGGAGGTATGGGTCTGTCAACTCCAATTAGTAATTACCGAGCTTCTGAAATGCATATTCGTACTATCCTCCGAATTCAGCCCCTCAACATGGGCGTATATATGAGTCATGTATTTGGTTCCCCAAACGTCTCCCTTTTTCTGACCATTCTCGTATAGGGTGTCTCGTCGAAGCCGTCAACTTGTGTGTACCTATACTTCTTTCTCTAACGTTCGCTAAGCAATTCTATTATTGTCCGTCCACAATACTACATAATATACATATACAGAAAACGAAATGGGATAGAAAACATTAGAAGCGTGGATGAAATTTCCAGAATCCATTGATTCATTAAGAAACGCATAGAATATTATATTGCGACAACCCGATAATTGCAGAAGAATAATATAAATGTAATAACAAGAATGACGAATTTTTGTTCAACAGATCGTTGGTTGATCTGGGAGGTGCGAGATCGGTGGCCCGTCACGTTCGAGCAAGACATCCTCGACGATGGCGCACGAGGCGACGATATCGGAGCTGACGGAATTGGACAGCGACGGATCGAGTTGCGGGGAACGCGGTGACGCCAGGAAACGTCTTCGTTTCGACGCGGATTCAAGTGGACCGAAGAAAAGGCGGAAACAAACGACGCCCGTGAGATTCTCCTCGGCGTTGATGACCGGTATGCACGAGGAATCGAACGAGGAAGAGGACGAGGACGAAGACAGCGAAGGTAAGCTGTCGCCGCAGTCACCTATACCCAGTCAGTCGTCGATCAGGGATGAGAACCTGAACAACGAATTCCGTTGCCAGTATTGTAGCCAGTTTTTCGATAGCAAGGATACGTTGAACGTACACCTCGATAACGAGCACGGTTCCGCGAATAGTCAGGCGCCCGAACAATGTCAGAGCAGGCCACCGAGCGCCGCGATCAAACAGGAACCGACTCAGCAATTGGACCAATCCGAGAACCCGGTTAATATGCTTAGCGTGAAGGATTTCGCGATAAACTGGCTGGCCACCACCGGACCGCACGTGCAATCGCACACGCAGATCCAGACGCAGAACGAGGAATCGTGGCCCGGGCCAGCGAATCAAATTCCCGCGTTATCGAACCACCTGCAAGTGCTCTCCGGTTTCCCCGGCGCCTTGGCGCAATACCTACCGATGCCCGCGTTCCCTCTGACAGACGCTAACCCGATCCCAAGACCATCCTTGGGGCCAACGCCGATCAGGATCTTTAATCCGGACGCGTACTGCGACCTTTGTAATAAAGAGTTTTGCAACAAATATTTCTTAAAGACGCACAAGGCGAACAAGCACGGTATTTATGTCGATTCCCCGGGACCCAGTTGCGCCGACAATAACGCACCTGGACCTATGTTCCCCAGTAGTTTTCCTAGCAACATGGTCAAATTGGAACCTCCTGCGACGCCACCCACGCCGACCGTGGCGTGTGACTTCTGTCAGAAACGCTTCAAAAACGAGGACTCGATGCGTAAGCATAAACAAAAAATGCACAGCGAGCTATTGGATCAATCTCAAATGAGTCAGGAGCAGCCGATGAATATGTCTCAGAGCGAAGAGGACAGGGACACGTCGAGGGACAGTTTGGGTGGTATCGAGACGCTGTTTAAGCAAGAGTACGGCATAGAACAAGAGGACGCGACGTACGTGCCGGCACCGAGACACCTATCGCCACATTCGGTTCAACAAGCAAGAGACTCCGGTTTCAACGCCGACAGGCTTCGCCGTTTAGGAGTCATAAACCCGGAGGCGTTCTGCGAGATATGTTGCAAAGAGTACTGCAACAAGTACTTCCTGCGCACACACAAAATGAAGAGGCACGGCATCGTTGTTCAAGATAGCGAGAGATCGCCAAGTAATCCGGGGTCCACGCCTACTTGGCATCAAGTGCAAACCAGCCCACTGAACTTGATAGTAACCGAGAATCCAGGTAGCATCGAGTCGAACGAACGAGCCGGCGACGATTACGAGTGCAAACCGTGCGGAATACGATTTCAAACGTTGGGCTTATATCAAGCGCATTGTCGGAAGATGCACGAGGGTGAGGAGCAACACTCGCCGAAACAGGAGTGCGAGCTGGAAGCGGTCGACCAACGGAACGACTCGATCTCGGAGGATCTTCAAAAGTTGCAGACGATGCTGCTTCAATTGAACGGGCTCAAGTCTGGCAAGGGATTGTCGTGCAACGTGTGCGGAAAAGAATACGAAAGCAGAACCGCGTTGCATATTCATATGGTTACAGAGCACGCCGCGATCGGCGAAGACCCGACGACGTCGCCTCAAGAAAAATCACCCTCGACCGCGGCCACCGCGTTTTGCACCCTCTGCGGAAAAGATTACGCGAATCAAGATGCTCTCAGGCGACACGTAGCCGAGGAGCATCAGCCGGCGATTTCGAGTGCCGCGATAACCCACACCCCCGCCACCGCGGCAACCACGACTAATTCGAATTCAACGAGCCAGGCACCTGGCACCGGTGAGAGGAAAGTCACGTCAATGACGCCCACATCGAGCTATTGCGAAATATGCAACAAGGAACTGTGCAATAAGTATTTCATGAAAACGCACATGCAAAGAATGCACGGGATCGAGATCGAGAACGGAGCTCAGATCGGGGGCGTGATATGCAACATCTGTAACAAAGAGCTGTGCAGCAAGTACTTCTTGCGCGTGCACAAGCATAACACGCACGGGATCGTCGACGAAAGTACCGCCGCGAGCTCGGTGAAACAGGAAGGGCATGACGCAACGAGCGCGGAGGATGCTGCGCTGAAACCGGAGCAACTCGGCGATCTGAGTCACAGATACTTCACCCATTTCACGGAGGTTTGCCCGATTTGCAACAGGAGGTTCCGCAGCATAAAGTGGCTGAAGGCTCATCTGATGGGTGATCACGGGAAAACGGGCATCGATAAATGGCGCGAAATGGAGCAACACTATCAAACATTGCCGAAGCCGGCGAACAGACCGGTGAACACGATGTCGAAGAACTCTCAGTCGTGTTCGAGCTTGAAGATACCGAACGGTTTTGAAGTCCCGCAGCAGATAAAGAACGCCGATTACACCGGTTTGGGTAATCAAGTACTGTCCAATCTATTGGGTTCATCTTCCGAGGATCCGCAGTTGAAAAGTTACCGGTGTTCGTACTGCAATTTCACAACCACCGTGCTGCCGTTCCTCTTCCTACACGAGAGGTCTCACGTGAACTCCCGCGAGAGTTTCGAGGGAGAGAAATCACTTCAGTGTCCGATCTGCTCGCAGGGCTTTCATCAGCCGGAGATGTTGCATCAACATCTCCTCGCCTCGCATCAATTCCCCGCGTTACTGTCTCACTTCCCGCCGCCGGCGTTTAATAATTTAACCATAGAACCGGAAAAGTCGAACGAGGCCAAAGAGAAACTCGATTTAGAGACGAAGGAAGATCGCATAGGGAACAGTTCACAAGTCACTGCCAATCGAAGTATCCCGGACACGGTGAGGAGTCAACGACAGGAGGACACAGCGGTTCAGGTTACTCCTCAGGGTGTCTACAAGTGCGCACAATGCGGTTACGCGACGACCAATTTGAATAGAATTAAGAAGCACGTGAAGAAGGACCACAAAGCGATCGGTGATCCTACCGAGAGCGTGATCGCCGAACTTAGCAAAACGTTGAGAGACGTCGCCAATAGACACAAGATGCCGGCCTGCTACGCGATGCCGCAAGACATGAACTCGAATCCTGATAAGACTATCATGCAACCGTTTTTGATAGAAGAACAAGACACGTTGCAAGCCGGCGAGGAATCCAGTTCGGAGAAACGATTCGCGTCGGCTTTGGTCTATCTGCCTGTTAAGTCAAGAATCAGCAACGCCCTAACCGCATCCTTCACCCTTAGCCCTGCTTGAAACGTTTCGTTCATTCTTTCATTATAATTTCACAACTTCGTTCCTGCGTCTGCGATTTGAGCACGCGTTATTAGTTCCTATGTAACTTATAAGGAAATAGCTAGCGAAAGTTTATATATATTTTTCATATACGTGGTTTGTCGGGATTCCCATTTATTCGTTATTTAAATACGAGTCATCGTGAGTCAGCCGAAGTGAAAGGTTGACACGTTCCTCCAAAACGATATTTTTATTGCCGTATTCGTCTGTCTTGCTTAATTCGAAATTAATGGGATGTCTCCGATCCTATTTTAACGGAAAGGATCCCGCGTTCGAAGGCCATGTTGTTATGACGTTCCGATCGAGGAACGTTTTTATTGTACATAGCATATTCGTATAACTAACACGAACGGGTGATCAAAAAAAAGTTCCTATTTTAAATGTGACTTCATAGTAGACAGTGTCTAACCGTTGGAGCAACAATTCTCTTCGTTTTAATCATTCGCGTCATCCCACTTTGCTTTTTGCTCAAGTCCACGAAATACGAGCGACATACGAAACAGGAGTCAAGAGATACGATACTACTTGAACGTTCGAGCGTCGTCGATACGTGCATACATATTATATTGTATCGATACATCGATGGTTTTCATTTTCGCGATCGTGCTAGTCAATATTTTATATATGAATATATTATATATATGTATAAGTGAAGTTGAAACATAGGGAAGAGGATTTTGAGAGATATTAATAAGTGAACGCGCTAGGATGCGATAGAAACGACGGTGAACGAACAATGATAACGGAGAGCGCGGCAAGCGTAATAACCGTGACACGAGCATGATTGATTAAACGTACGGTTTTACAGTATTTAGATATCAACGAGCAGTGAAAGCCAACCAACTCAGGGTCGACACAGTATAACCCGTAACAAAAAGTACAATCGTATACACAGCCAACGCATCGCATATAGAATTAAAGATGAAAGAAAAAAAAAAAAAGATATATCGAATATAGCGAGTTTTGTGAGCCGCGAATATCAAATTATATGCCAATCGAACTCTTCCTACGTTTTTTTTGTGGAAGAGCGTCGAACTGACCATTCGAGTACTCGAGTTTACGATAACAATTTTCTTAAAACTACAATTCAAAGAAAAGACTATACGTTTCTCTGATTAATATACGTATACTACGAAACGTACTTATTATAGAGTTGTTTACAAGAAATAACTGATGTCGCCTGAACGATGTCGGAGACGTAATGTTCCTTTTCGAGATGCCCTTTCAACCTCGTGCCTTGCAGCTAAAGAAACTGAGAATCAAAATTTCGTTATCGGCCATGTACGAATCGAATCGGAAGTGTCTAGGACACAGACTCTTTTATTTCTATTGGTCGTACGTACAAGAGACAATTTCGTACCCACGATAATCCTCTTTGACCTCGTAATGGCAATTTCCTCTACCATTTTCTACCTAACATTTTTTAATCAAATGAATAGAAATGTATATACGTGAAAACAGGATTTTTAGTCGAATTTTCAATTATTTTCGAGCCGCGATCAGTGAGCAATCGATCTAAACATTTTAGAGGACAGCTGCTTTCGCAGTGGCCAGCCGGTCCCAATTTTAACTCGGTTCGGTTCTTTGCACCGGTGCGGTGGGGTTCCTTCGATGAACAAACACGCGCACGTTACGTTTCCGCCCTTGATGCACGCCTACGCAATGTTGACCTTGGATTATGAAATAATAACGCCGCTCGCATCGACGAGGTCGTTACTATTTGTTCGAGTCCACGCGCAAATTCGAAGATATTCGGGAGGGGTAGAGAGCTTATCGATCGCGAAACGAAGCGAGCATCAATCGAGCACCGTTACGAACAAAAGGTATACGAGGCAATACCCAGACGCGATTCGATAAACATGAATGCTCATCAGAACGAGACGCGTGATCTGGATTTATGGGGCATCGGAAGTAAAAATGACAGCGCTCTCGTTGCGCCGGGCCCGGGTCGAGGGCTTTGTCTCAGCGGCCATAAAAATTTCCCTGGGACAGCTGAAATTCGAGAACCGCGTCATTTAACAGGGCACGGGTCTCTACGGGTTTTCCGACGTGAAATTCGCCTGAATTAGTATGCGCACACGCGTGCATTAACATACACGTTTAGGGGAGACTGGAAGAGGAATCGGCCATTACGAATCCATTGAGAACGAGAGAAAGGGAGGAGGGGATATATACCTATACGGAAATGAGGATAAAAACCGGTGCCGGTAGTCAGAGAGAATGAGACGAGGAGAGAATTTTTGGTTGGGGAAAATGGAATTTTTAGCGGCATTGTCGTTGGACCGCGGCTAGTTGGGCCTGGACGAAGCGGTCTCACATCTGGTCCCCTTGTGGGAAGGTCGGAGAGGAGAAAGGTCGCGACCTTGGCCGGGATTTTTCCGAAAAGTCCAGGAGAAACGGACCGAACGAAGGGTGGACGCGGGACAGACGGGGCGGGGAGCGCGTGTCCCCGTCCTTCCTTTAGTTCGCTTTTGTGTGTCCATTTTTCTCGCCCCACGGTGACATGCAAAACGCGTGCGTCCATGTAAATCGGCACCCTCTTAATTGCATCCCATGGAACTATGCGTATTGTGCACTTAATGGCCCGTGCGCGCCGGCCGAGGGTCGTAGATTTTAATTATTGTAACGACTTGCAGTCGATAATAAATCGGGCGAGCGCCGAGGGCGTCATGGTTTTTCGCGTGCCGCATCAGTCATTCATTCAGCCGCGTACGAGGAATACATGATTTTCCATCTCGGTTCAAGTTTTCCCAATGGCATTTCTCGCGTACGATTACGTACCATAGTTGACGTACAAAAAGGTAAAAATCATGACGATCCTAGCTACGGGCGATCATCGAACTTCACAGCAGCGGTACGGCCTGAAACAAGTATTGCCTTGACTAACGTAATTGAGCGCAAAATCAAATTTTACTCTTTTAAATCAAAAAGATAAAGACACAAAGTATAATGAGAGAAAAACATTGATATATATTATATATATATTATTGATAATATAACTATATACATATATAGAATGTTTAAGTACGAATACGAATTAAGCGCGTTTCGTATATAAATGAGAAAGATATATATATTGTCTGTATTATATTATTATATTATATGAACGTACGTATTTGATAAGCGTATCGTTTCGTGTAAAGTGTTCCGCGCGTCTAGGCAAATTAATTTTAATCCATCTAGTCATTCACGACACGATTTACAATTCCAAAAGTTGATCTAGTCACACGACGCACAGTCGAAAAGTATTATAATATATGTATACACGTGACACAATTGAAATGAAACTTGAATGATTTATCGATACATCCGAGATCGATCATATATTTTTATATAAGACTGCGAACTACAAGAATCTCTTTTTTCTTTGTTATTTCTCATTTCTTATTTGTATTATTTATTTATTTCCGCCATTATTATAATTTTATATGCGTATGAAAATTCGAACGGTGTGTATATATACAATGAATAAAGATACTTTTCATTTCTTTAAGTTCTGTTTTATATGATTTTTCGTTCTTTTCGTTTGGCTCGCTTACATCGTCCGTTTACGTTCCTATTAAATTTTCACGATTTGACCGTTGCACGATATCAACTTGTATAATTCAATTTACTCGGACGTCTGTCTGTCGGATCGATCAATTTCATCGTTATTACGTGTTTTAAAAGGTGCCGCTCCTACGAGTTTCGGAACGTCCGGGACTAAAAAAGGTGGCCCGGCAAAATAAATGTGACAAATTGCTTGTGTGTACCGCACTTTCGTCGCTTTATCGAGTATAAAAAGCGCAAATCAAACACAAACGTATCCGGTTTCTTTTCCAGTACAATTTTTTTCCATCGTACACACAACAGCAGAATTGGGGTTGAAAGGTTGGAAAGTAAGAGAGGGACGACATTGAGAAAGGAAAAGAGAAATGAGTGAAAGTGACGGAGAGAGGGCGAGTCTCTCTTCCTCGTCGATCCTTCGTAAGTGTAGGAGGGGATAATATTTTATGGGCAAACGAAAGGAAAAGCGGGTTGGTCAATTTTCAGTGAGAGGGAGGGCGCGATCCGAAGACGTGAAACGCTTGCGCTATATCGGAGTTTTTCTTTCGGGTTGATGGCCAGAGTCGACGGTTTGAAAAGGGAAGACGGAAGGCAGCCGTGTTTCCGTCTTGCTCGGACCAACGGCCAATGAGTAAATGACACACAGCTAGACCCCTATTCTCGTACGCAAACACACAAACGGGCGTACACATACCGAAAATTGAACCACCCACTCACATCCACCGAGGATATGTATAAAAATCAATAATATCTTGCGGTTTCCAAGAGCTCCGAAAACGGGGGAATATGTATCGAGGGGAATGTAATTCCCTCTTATAGACAAAAAACTGCCTTCAATAAAAAACCAGTCTTCGGATATCGATTATAAATTGTCGTCTTTCACCAAGTCTTTCTTGACAATAAAGCCAAACGTATACGAAAAAAATATTCTAATGCGAGCAGATATTCGACTTATTTCTTTTCGTAAGATAAAATAATCGGGATCTCTAGTTTTGTTCCCCGTTATTTATTTACGACGACCGTCGACGATACTGGCTACACAGTGGTAGTGGTCCCGCCTCGAAGTTCGTGATAAATTTAAGAAAGTTATCGAACCGTACGCACCCCTCCTTATTCCCGTGCGCGCGGTTTACCCTGTTTTCTCCAACTCATCAACCACCACAACCGCAACGCTGCTTATACCCTGACAAGGAAGTGAATTGCAATTATCAAAGCCTCTGCCCTCTCGAGCCTCACACCCTCCTTTCGATACTTCCGCCCCTATCGCCTCTTCTTCCTCGGCTCCGTTTTCTTTCCCCCTATCGTCCGGCAAGTTGGAAATTTCATCCCCCCGTAATAATTTCGCCACCACCGACACAACCGCACACGCACACTCTCCGCGCGCACACAGCAGCTCCGATCCGTCGTCTTCGGCGATCAAAAGAATCCACGTGGCTGAGATGAGGGTCGACGAAATATTTCGCTACGTAGCAAATTTCGTGAAACGCTATTGTTCGATCTTATAAATGAGGGCGCCGTCGAAGACAACGACCGATTGCCGCAGACAAATTTCGACAGAAATCGGGGAACTCGAGAGTTTCACTGGTTATTCTTCATATTTATTCCATTTCTTCTACGGAGTACCGTCCGACGTAATTTTTTTTTATCAAGGAAGAAAGGAGGATAATATATCTCGTCCGGTGACACGATTTTTGTCATCGCCAGGACGCATTCGAATGTATTGTACGTATGTATGTATGTCTCCGGGCATAAAAGAGATCAGATTGAATGTACTCGATGCAGCGTGATAAACAAGCTGCATGCAAAAGCACCTTTCCGCGAAAATCGTGTCACACGGAAAGGAATAAAACATTGACACCGGTTGTCCTACAATGCCGTTGCCGGTATTCCGTTCGACATTGGGCAAAAAATTCGAATCCGTGTAAAATGAAAGGGCTGAAAATCCTTTCATGGCGATTCACCCTCGTTTTTCTCCGATGCGACAAACACAGGCGCGTGCTGGATCCTTTATTTTCATCCGCGGTTCGCTTACCTAGGTACATCTATGTTTTTTTTCGGTTCAACGATTTTCGAGGGGTGGAGCTCGGGAGAAATCCGCGATTCGGGAAAGAACTTTCGACCGAACGGGGTGAAAATATGGTCATTGTTCGACGATCCGTTTTCGGAGTTTTTGGAAAAAGGGGGAGACCGCGGAAAAGGCGTACAACCCTTTATTTGTTCAACGGGCGATCGTGGAACGTGCCGGGTGCGTCGCGCGCTTACCGTTTCGACGAATTTCACCCCAAATTTTCAGCTGACGCACACCCCAGCCGATTTACACAATATTTTGGAAATCCTTTATAAGATTTCGCCCCTCTCGCTCTTAGCTTAGCCACGAGCCCGATCCCATTGTAACCGACCCGCCTCTCCCCCTGTCTCCTTTTCTACGACCTGTCGACGAGCCGCCACGACGACAGATGGGAACGTGCCGCTGTTCCGAGGAACGGCGCACACGCTCGGCCAAGGGTTCGGGAATATAAGTAAAGAAAATAGAGAAAAAAGTTTGTAAAACCCGTCGAAATCGTGAAATTAGGGTCGATCCGGAAAAAAACATGGAGAATTAACATCGCCATTGTGAAAGGGATCCACCGGGCGGAAGGGTGAACGTGGAATTCGCGTGCACCCCTTTCACGTGCGGCGCGTGCCTTTTATTTCCCTATTCCTTCTGCTTTATCAATGATTCGGTAAAAATCGCGCGAAACGAAAAACACGGAGAGGTCGCAGTAATACGATCCTCAGGCTTAACGCCGTGCATCAAATTCTGGGTCAAAGGGTACAAAGAATTCAAAAGACGTGTTGTAGATAAATAATACACGTGATGCTGTAACTGCGAGGTTGTTTCAAGGAGCGGCACCTAATTAAAACACGTGAGCGATTAACTGAAACGCATAACTGTCATGTTCTGTCTGTTTCTTCCTACCTCAATTCTACTCCCACCGAGACGGCTCCAAAATAATCGCATTTAATACATTATATAGTCTTACATAAACTGGGAACGACCGCCTGACAATAATCCAACAATCTCCGGTTGAAAAACGTTACGCAACCGCGACGAGAAGCGACGAACGCACAGAAATGTATGTGCACGATAAGTCGCGTTTATGCGACTATTCTTTAACTGACGTAACGAACTAATTATCCATATTTTTCTAAGTTGTCGAGTGAAACGAGCACCACGATTACTGCACTCCGAGGACCGTGACAGAAAAGAATGAAGAAGGCAAACAATGCCATTACCGACGCGCGAAATTTGACGTTCCTTATTATGCGACTCGTGTAAATACCACTGTTGGACGAGCGGAAATTATATAGGATAGGTACACCCATCTAATACGATAACGTGATACACGAAAACTTATTAAGTTCCTACTAACGTATATCGTATAAATCGTATGTTCCTAAGCTAAGCTTTACATAATCGGAGTTAACGTTATAAATTGAACGGAATGGCCCTGTTGTAGGACTCGACCAACAGTATCTCGATTAGCGTGTATGTACACGCGTTTAGGAAATCTGTTTGTACGCGAGTACGTACGTCTGTAACGCGAGCCATGTGTGTGAACTGTGCGAAACTGTGTATTTACACTGTAAAGTTAAGCAATACCCGGTAAGCGGCGATTCTACACCTAAGGATTAATCGTAATACGTAACGTACGTAGTGATATAAGGTAAACGAGGGAAAATCAAAATTAGTTGTTAACCGTGAGGTTCGGGGAGTTGCACGCCATCCGCGTTTAACGAAATCTACGATCGATAAGTACCACGATTCAGGGTCCGCTAGTTATTTCTCATGTAGCAGATAAAATAGCGATGAAAACTATTGTAAATAAGAAAAAAAAAAAGAAGTGAATGTATCTATATTCGACGAACCAGAAGTACAAGTAAACGGAACCGTTTCGGCGACGACGAATTATTAAAAGTATATGGACAAATTTACGGGAATAGGCAAGTTACGTGTGTGTACATAATTGATGAACGAGACGATGGCAGGAAAGAAATTAACGTGATTTTATCTAATCGCGTATACAGACGCGTATGGTAATTGTGAACAACTGTGACGAGTGAACATCAAAACGAGGATCGTCTGATTAAATCGTAAGCTGGCCGATTATAGAGAACGTGAGGACACAATGCAGCAAAATATTTTTCGTGAAAATAGAAAATATAGACGATTATTATTTTTAGAAGAAGAGAATCGTGAGACTTTTTCAACATTTACGAGAATAGCTTTTTTATGCAACAGAATCGTTTTATCGAACAAAAGACCGACTGTTTA